TGTGTGGCGCTCGCTACAAGACCAGACAGGGTCTGTCCTACCACCTCTCGCACACACACAAGGGGGGCAGGGCTAACTCTGGGGGTGGACGGTCCAGAGGGGGTGGCAACAACCCTCAAACCCCCAGGGCTGATCCCGCTTCGGCTGGTGCAAGTTACCAGCCTCAGGCCTACCAATCTGATGCTCTGGCTGGCCTGGCAGAGTTTCAGGACAGTTACCTTGGCTACCTATCAGCCGGCCAAGACGCCTCACCCACGGGTATGCCCCTCCCCCCCCTACATCGTCAGCCCTGTCTGTGCTTGCTGCTGCTTGCCCTAGTCTGCTTGCTTGCTCGCTCATTTTTCTCTTGGAGACAGATTCATACAAAATTATCTCCCAGTTTCATGATATTTATTAAATTGATAACATTATTTTAACCTAAAGCAAAGCACTTAACTTAGGTGTATCTGTTGGATCTGTCTTTGAATTACCTGTGAACAAGAGGGTTTGTGGAGTTTAGTGATGTGCTTGTGTTTTGTTTAGGCTGAGAGCTTTACATGCAGGCTTATTAGATAATGCCAAATATCTCTCCTGCCCCAAACCTATCTTCATGCTACAAGTAGTTGTGAAACTTACAGCACATTATGCCTAAATTAATCAAGCAATTGAGAGGCCTGAGTTACTGTACCATATAAAATGAAATTGACAATATTGCAGTGTAATAACTGGAACTTAATGCCAGATCACTGTTTCTTAGATTGAGTATTTGGTACATGGCATGTAATTGATGTGACTGGTCTCTCATCTGTTTATTAAAGATTTTAATAGAGTTTATCTCACTAATGTGACTAGCATCATCCCCTCCTTGCTAGGCTCTTTCTGCAACTTCATCACATTAGGGCTTCTTACTAACTACTTTCTGATTTTGTGCATTTTGATGTCATCAGTATTGAGAGTGTATTACTCTGTTGTTTCACAGTTCACTTGAATGAGTTAATAATATATGCAAACGTAACAATTGTACCATTGCTTTACTCTCACAGTATATCTATATTGTATTCTAGTTTTTCCTTCATTATTAATATTTAATTTTAGTAATGAACAGCATAATTTAAAGAATCTAAAAACAATTTATAAAATGTTATAATTAGCCAGGACTGAAGTTGATTTTGTGAAATATTTTATGCTTTTTTAAGTCTATTTATAATAATTTTATTATTATTATTATTGCCTTGTGTAATCCATTATTACTATTATGCCTACTTTTATTTGATATATGTTTATTTATAATTAAATATTTACAAAAAATTTCCTGATAATCAGTTACTCTGAAGCCATGGAATTGAAATACAAAATTCTTATATAAATTGCATTGCCATAATGCTGGAGAGATGTGCTCTAGTCCTTGAAGATTTGAACATTTCAGTTTAAAATGAAATAAATGTAAATCTGAATGTCTAAAAAAAATATACAGACTAATGTTTAAATACCAGTACAGTAATATATTTATTACACCTTTCAGTGGCAGTCAATAATAAGAGTTGGATGAGGTGTTTACCATACTGTACTGAGAACACACTACAGATTTGACATTCTACTAATTCAGTGATTTTTGTGAGCACTCCATGGTATCTCATCTCAACCCTTTTATTCAAATTTTATCTACAGTGCTTATGTATACAAGGATGTACACCATTGCTATGAGCTAGACTACAATACCATAACTTGTAAGGTACCCTTTTAACCCTTTCACTGTCTCCTATGTATGTACTGTATGTATACATTTTTGAGGGCGAGTGCCACTTATGTATAAACATGTCTTAATCGTAGTGCCCTCAAATGTGCTGTAAGTGGTAAATTTTGGCCTAGACATGAGACAATAGGGTCTGTGTGGTGGGTGTGCACAGTACGTATAAGAAATATCCTGCCCGACACAGTGCATGATGGGAACAGCTAACCTCTGACCTTGAATGTTAGTTAGTGATGTTGAAGCATTGTCTAGGGTGGTTTACATTGTCTTATTAGCTATTTTTGCTGTCAGTTGATAGACTGGAAGATGTGTTAGTGAAACGGAGATGATTTTGGTTGGTTCCAGAACGGAAGTAACCTGAAACACCTCAAAATGGTGGAAATATTAGGTTTTTGGTGACTTTCCTCAGGAAGGGTCTGTTAATGGGTTTTTACTTAGCCAACAAATGAATCTTTCAAAATTATTGAACAAAACACAATAGTCTGAAGGCCCATAGGATGCATAGCATTTTGAGAAAACTTAGACTATACTGTGCTAAAATTTTCATAGATTTAGATCTAATATTGGTATTAATAGAAACTTAAATACAGGTTACAAGTTGATTTGTAAAATAACAAAATAAAAAATATAATTTTCTGGTTTTAACAGGGTAAGTGGTACTAGTTTACTAATTTACAATACAAAACAATATAATAAATACACCTACCATCCGACTTATGACCGAGTTCGGTTCTGAGAAACCGGTCGTAAGTCGAAATGGTCGTAAGTTGAACTTTACTACTGAATATCAACAAAACATTTTTGTAATGACTTTATTTTATTGTTTTATTTTGGTATTTCATGTTTTACTTTACTTTTTATGCTGTTAGTACTGTATTTTATACTGTCAGGTTTAGGATACACTGTGTACAACACAAATAGTTGTTTATTTCCCAGAAATTTGGCATAAAAAACACGGTCGTAAGTTGAGTGGTCGTGAGTCGAGCAGGTCGTAAGTTGGATGGTAGGTGTACAAGTTTTCCGAAGAATATTTCTACGTACATGTATATAAGAAATAAAGACAAGGATAATATTGTACTAAGTGCAACTTGCTTCTATTATTGGATGGCTTAAGCCATGACCAATCATTCTTGTTTATATTTTATTAGCAAGAAATAGGGTAATTTTTTTTTTGTGTGTGTGGGATGGATTCACAATGAAGTGAAGGTGTTATATAAGAAGGCCCTGGGGACATGATTAATTCAAATTCAAATTTTTATTTTCTATCATGTGGTACAAAAATAATGTAGTTTATATGTAATAAAACATTGTTAGGCACAAAAGAAAGCCACTAGTATGCAATGCATTTTGGGCAGACTAATCCTAATGGTTAAAAACTACTTAAGAATTAGACATAGACTGTTAAGTAGGATTTCTTTGGTAGTTACCTATAGTTATATGCACAATATGAAAGGTAGCTAATGAACAAATGCTACAGTTTTAAAAGTATGACTTATTACTTCAAATTGATTGAATAGAGGTAGTGAAGATACAGGAAGTTACTTAGTTACAGTAGAAATATAATGGAACAAGATGAGTAATTAATTTCTTATGGAAGTTGCAGGAAGAATGGAAGAAGAACAGTGACAGAGTTGAATGAGCTGGTTTTGTTTGACATATATTTCTGGTTCAGTTATGTTAATGAGATATTTTTTTAACAATAGCTGTGAATTGAGGAGCAGACAGGGGACCTTTTGATGATTCAGGCAATGAATTCCAGATCTTATGGCCTTTATATCAATTGAGTTTTAGCATAGGTTGACTTGGTCACTGGGGATGTCAGAGAGGGTTTTGTATCTTGTCTTAACCCTGGTGGGTTTAGTGCTTGGTTTTAGTTATTATAATAATAATTGTATCTTATGTTATGCCTGTGTGTTCTGTTGCAGCTATCAAGGAAAGGTTTTAGAGGGGGGTTTGTGATGGAATTTAATGTTCTCTATAATACAGCTTCTCCTAACTTAGCGACGTACTCATTTATCAACGACTCAAACTTACAACAGGCTCTCTGACCAGTATGCGTACCTAAATAATGTATATTAGAGTTGATTTCCTCTATTCTGTTTATTACAATATATAGTACACTACTGTATAAACATTTAAAAATACTAAAAATGGCATTAACCCTTTCACTGTCGGTCCCATGATATTATGGCTTGCAAGCCAGTGTCAGTCCCATAATACTACTACAAAATTCTAGCAGCTTCAGATCTGGCAAGAAAAAGCTGGTAGGCCTACATGTGAGAAAATGGGTCTGTGTGCTTAGTGTGCGCAGCATAAAAATAATCAGGGAGGCCGCAGTGCATTATGGGAGTGCCAATTCAGTACGCCTTGTTTACCATGCCTAGCGGTAAGGAATACCTCACTCCCTAGCGAATTGGAACTCTTCTCTAACCAAGTGATAGTTCTAACATAGATGGATGTGTCAGTGAAGATGAATTTCATGGTTTTGAGGACTTTGTGACCAAAAGAAAAGCCTAGGATACCAGAAATAGTGCTGAAAATCCAGATGACCATCAACCTTCCACCTCTGGTGCTGGGCCTTCTCATTCACGTTAGTTGTACCACGGCAAAAGGGGAAACTCATATTTTTCCATATCCAGGACTCAGATGTGAGCAGTAGTCGTGAAAATGATACTGATTGTGATTTCCAAGCTCTTGATTACAATTCCAATAGCTAAAATGAAGAGGAATATTCTCCAGTGAAGCGTGAATTTATAAGAGACTACATGCATTCTGTTAGTGTGCCATATGCTATTCCAAGGGAAGGAGTACATCTCGGAGTACAGTGGACCCTCGGCCAACGAAGGCATCGTCTAACGATAAATTTGTCCAACGAAGCATTTGAGTGTAAAAATTTTGGCCCGGCCAACGATGAAGAACTCGACCAACATGATTCGTCCCGAACCTGTCTGTCTAGCCTGAGCGCCTCAGCTGCCCTGCCATCATTGTTTACAAGCCAGGGTGGATGGTTCCATGCATATATTCGATAAATTTTGTATTATTCCATTGTTTTTAGTGCTTATAACTGCTAAATAAGCCACCATGGGCCCAAAGAAAGCTTGTAGTGCCAACCTTGTGGTAAAAAGGGTGAGAAATACTATTGAAATATTATCGTACCACAGTCAGCTGTTGCTGCTGCTGCACTACCGTCAGCTGTTGCTCCACCACCATCAGCTGTGCTACTCGAAGATGTGGATAGAGTGTTTTTGGTGTGGCTTAACGAGAAACAGTTACCGAGAAACAACCCCAGAGGGTTAGCCACCCAGGATAACCCAAGAAAGTCAGTGCATCATCGAGGACTGTAACTTATTTCTATTGGGGTCCTTAATCTTGTCGCCTAGGATGTGACCCACACCAGTCGACTAACACCCAGGTGAACAGGAAAAAATACCTGGAACTAGTGCTCATATTGGTGAATTTAAGGCCAGCAAAGGTTGGTTTGAGAGATTTAAGAATCGCAGTGGCATACACAGTGTGATAAGGCATGGCGAAGCTGGAAAATTCCAACCCCAACAAGTGTTCAATTGTGACAAAACAGGCCTGTTCTGGAAGAAAATGCCAAACAGGACCTACATTACTCAGGAGGAAAAGGCACTCCCAGGACACAAGCCTATGAAAGACAGGCTAACTCTCATGTTTTGTTGTAATGCTAGTGGGTATTGCAAAGTGAAGCCTTTACTCATGTATCACTTTGAAAATCCCAGAGTGTTCGTGAAAAACAGTGTCTCATCACTCATCAGTACTCTTCAATAAAGGTAAGTGTCATTTTAACATTTATTTATGTGGTTATTGTGCATGTCTCATTGTTTTCTTTGTAGGGAAATGTATATTTCATGAAAAAAAAAAATTTTTTTAATACTTTTGGCTGTCTGGAATGGATTACAGTGGACCCCTCGCCTAATGATATTAATCCATTCCTGAGAGCTCAACGTTAGGTGAAATTATCATTAGCTGAATTAATTTTCCCCATAAGAAATAATGGAAATCAAATTAATCCGTTCCTGACACCCCAAAGTATGAAAAAAGAAAAATTTACCACATGAAATATTAATTTTAATACACACAAACTGAAGAAGACATGTACAATTACATGACACTTACCTTTATTGAAGATCTGGAGGTGATTGATGGGATGGGAGGAGGGGAGAGTGTGGATGGTGTTAATGTTTAGAAGGGGAATCCCCTTCCATTAGGACTTGAGATGTCAAGTCCTTTTCCGGGGTTACTTCCCTTCTTCTTTTAATGCCACTAGGACCAGCTTGAGAGTCACTGGACCTCTGTCGCACAACATATCTGTCCATAGAGCTCTGTACCTCCCGTTCCTTTAAGATTTGTCTAAAATGGGCCATAACATTGTCATTGTAATAGTCACCAGCACGGCTTGCAATAGCTGTGTTAGGGTGATTTTCATCCATAAAGGTTTGCAGTTCAACCCACTTTGCACACATTTCCTTAATCTTTGAAGTAGGCACAATGGATTCCACAACTGGCATAGGCATCTCAGGGTTAGCCCCAAACCCTTCAAAATCTTTCTTAATTTCCATACTAATTCTCACCCTTTTTATCACAGTGGTTGGCACTAGAAGCTTTCTTGGGGCCCATGGTGACTTATTTTGCAGGTGCAATCACTAAAAATGCTGTGATAATATGAAATGTTCCGTTTGTATGTTTGGATGCGACCGCGGTGGCTGGCTTGTAAACACTGGCACCCATGGGACAAGTGAGGGGCGCTCAGGCCACACGTGGACACATCTCAAACGGAACGAATCGCGTTGGGCGAGTTTTTAAGCGCTAGCCGAGGCGAAATTTTTGCGTTAAAATGTATCGCTAGGTGGATTTAATGTTATGTGATGCGTTCGTTAGACTAGGGTCCACTGTAATTGGATTTCCATTATTTCTTAGGGGGAAATTAATTCGACTAATGATAAATTCGCCTAAAGATAAACTCTCTGGAATGGATTAATATTGTTGGTCGAGGGTCCACTGTACATCCTGTTGCCTTACACCAGGAACAGGTAGTGAAGAGAGAAGACAGCGTGGGTGGTGGGGAAAACAGTGTGGGTGGTGAAGGTGTAGGTGGTAGGGAAGACAGTGTGGGTGGTGGGGAAGATGGTGTGGGTGGTGGGGAAGATGGTGTGGGTGGTGGGGAAGACAGCGTGGGCGGTGGGGAAGACAGCATGTAAGTTTATTCAGGTATACACAAATACAATTACATAGATTATCATACAAAGCAGCATATGTGTAGAGAACCTAGGATAACCCAAAAAAGTCAAAGTGACTTATTTCCATGTGGGTGGTGGGGAAGACAGCATGGTTGGTGGGGAAAACGGTGTGGGTGGTGGGGAAGACAGCATGGTTGGTGGGAAAGACGGTATGGGTAATGGGTAATGTTACAATTGGCATGGATAATATACATGTGGCAGCAGGTGATGGTGGTGTAATGGGGTTGGAATTTTTCAGCTTCGCCATGCCTTTTCACACTGTGTATGCCACTACGATTCTTAAATCTCTCAAACCAACCTTTGCTGGCCTTAAATTCACCAATATGAGCACTAGTTCCAGGCATTTTTTCCTGTTTACCTGGGTGTGAGTTGACTGGTGTGGGTCGCATCCTAGGCGACAAGATTAAGGACCCCAATGGAAATAAGCTAGACAGTCCTCGATGACGCGCTGACTTTCATGGGTTATCCTGGGTGGCTAACCCTCTGGGGTTAATTGTTTCTTGGTAACTG